TAAAACCCTTGCGCACTTTAATTCTTAAATAAAATATAGTCTGAAATATTCGGAGATGTAATGACTATATACACGCTATATTACATAGTTACGTGAGTGAAAGAAAATTCAAAATGATATCGAGGCTGTAATATTTATTTACTGTTGGGGATACACAGAAAGAAGATTGAAAGACCCAAAACAATTTATACAAAATTATTGTTAGTTAGACTATTAATATTTATAATATAAATCTTTTTCTAGAGCAGAGTAAATGTTTTAAGGCATTCCTAATATGAAGGAATAAAAGACAGTGTCATACATTATTTTAAATTTTATTTGATATTACCAATATTTGGAATGATGAGGAAATATGAATAGTGTAAAAATAATTAAATAAATAAGAGGAGTAACAAGGAATCACACTATCTCCGTTTCATACACCAAAAATAGTGAAAAAGTAATAAGTGCAGTTGCGTGATCTATTTTTGGCGCACCCTTTAAATATTGAGTTTTGCCAAAAAATGTAACCCGGACTTCCATGGTCGCTCAGTATATCTCCACCCCCTATGTCCACACCTATTCCTCCCATTCTCCCACTCATAGCTCTTTCAATTTGACTTGTCTTTCAGCGTAGAAAGGGCCTTAATTCCTTTTTAGTATTTTTCCGTTTGAGAGTTAGGCTGTTATTTCCTCTATTGCTTTTTACAAGATGATATTTAGCATCTTATTTTGTGTTTTCGTTTAGTATGTTTTCCGTTTTTTCCTGATGTGTTGGTCCCTTCAGCTCTCTTATGAGGTAATAACTTATTTTATACCTTTCTTCAAATAATATTCATACAATAAGGGATACATAAGTAAAATAATGAACAGGTTACAAAATGTTAGTGTCTAACATTTTGTAACCTGTCAATAATAGTTTTCTCTTACCTAACTTGGGCGGTATTAATGGACATTCTGTGGATGGCTCCAAATGACTAGAATTTATGAAATTCAGAGAAATGTTTTTATTTTCTACCTTAGAAGAATAAAGTTTTGAACTATTTGATGACTCTGAAACTAAAGAACGATTTAATAAAATATTATGAGGTTTTAAAGGAAGAAAACTATTATTTGAAAGTGCTTTAGTATCACTTAATTTTTGATTTAGATGAGAAATCCATGCTAATCCAGGAGCCACTATCTTATTTATGGGCTTCCGATCAGAAAAAAGGTAGTAACTATAATCCAGGAGCATAACTGTAAACACCAACAAAATCACAGCTTTGCATATGAGAGTACGTGAAAAAGTTATACGAGAATAGCTATGTTGAGCCATCCCACTTCGGTATAACTCTGTCTGGCGTTCTGACAGATTTTAAAACTTTCATGAATTTAGCTTGATATACAACTTGAATACATCATAAGATTTTTACATAGCCAAAGATTTCAAATAAATGGCTTTATTTTTTTCCATTAAGCTTTTTTCTGGTGCTAAATCCCATTTTAAGATGATGAGCATAGTTGGCAATTTAAACCAAAATCTGAAATGAAAAATTAAAATTATTAGAATTCACGCCAGTGCAAAAAACTACAGACACTGAATTGTTAGAAACACATTAAAATATATAGTGATTTGTGTGCGTCAGTTTTAACAATGATTTTTATTAATAAGCATACATATTGCCCTGTATCTAATACAGTAAGGAACCGATTATCTGGAGCGATCGGGACCATTGCTATTCCGGATAACTGATTTTTCCGGTTTTCTGAATCGCTACAAAAAGCCGTTTTTTTTATTGTCAAACTCAACTAAAAAAATATATATTTGGAAATAATCTTAAAAAGAAGAAAAAACGATGAAGTAATGCACTAATAATTGTTTCCAAAATGATGGTAAGGTAAACATCTTTCAAAAAAGAAAGAAAAATCTTGAAATCTTATGACGAAAAAAACTTTTTTTTTTTAAAAAAATGGCGGGAAAATTTATTGATTTTCGTTCCGGTTTTTTGGTTTTCCGGATAAAGGGTTCTGTACTGTATTTATTTATTTACAGAAATAAGATGATGTTGTGAATTAGCGGTGGTAAATAGCTACTCAGACAGTGATATGCTATGTTCTTCCAGGGTCCAGTGCTAAGGACCATTAGCCAGTAAAAGGCATTAGCCAGTAAAATAGCCGATTTTAAAAAATTCTTAGCCAAAGGCAGATTTTAACAATTTTTTGTAGATTTAAATATTTAATACATAACAAAATAAAATGATTTTCCTAATGATGGATAGATATTTTTTGATGAATTAGATTCATGAAAACACTGAATTCTTTTAATGCAACACATAATACTTAAATTGTCAACCCTATATGCAAATGTATGCTATTTCTATCCAATCTGCCACTAATAGTAATTAGGCTGAAATTGAACATTATTTTAACTGAAAAATAAGTGAAATAAGATCATTTTTCCTTTTAATCTCTTCTTGATTTCAGCCAAAAAGATATGCTGATTCTCTGTGATGAGCTGCATAATCATTTCTTTGACTATTTTAGTAATAAATTAAAAGCCTGAAATTTTAAAAATCTTACTTCTATTTGTCTCACACTCTCAAAAAAGTAAATTTAATTCACGAAATTTGTAATTCATAGCATACGAGGAATAATCATACAATGTAAGTGATATCAAACTATAAGAGCGAATGGATGAGGGATGATTCAGTTCAACACATGCAACATTAGCAATCAGATATTGTTTTTGATGACATCAATTACTGGAGTTTTATAGGGTAATTTAATTGTTTAATAATTAAGTAAAACATTTGTGGGGAAAAACAATTAGATAATCTGATTCAGTAGAGAATTTCCAATAAATTAAAATTGATAATACAAAATTTTAAGAGAAGGATGTTATTTTAGAGACTATTTATAACAACCAAATTTAATGTACCTACTTATTTCAACGTAGTGATTGGAATTGAGTTTAATTTTCCTTAATACTTTAAAAATATGTAAGGCTTTTGAAACAAAAGATGATTTCATTAAAAAGGCCTTTGACATAAAATTTAAGAATCACTATTTTGAGTTAAGTAAACCCAGTATGAATTCTCTTTAAATGAAACTCTTAGTGAAACATCCCTAAACTCTTGGTCTAGATAGATCAAGAAGGAGAAGAATTATCTAACACTTAGATCATACAAAATTAACAATGAATTAAAATAAATTACGGCACAGGACATTGTACTTGTTTTTAACGAGAAAAACAATTCTTAATTTAAAATAACAATAGCTCAATAAAAACGAAAATATTCAAATGCCAAAATAATTATACGATGTTATATATTTAATAAATGAGTACTTTTTCTGAATTTTAGAATAAAAAAATTTAGAAACAAATAAGAAGTAAACACTGGTTTCTTTCAATAAGACGGGAATGCTTTAAAATAAATTTACTCATAATATATATGACACAACATAGTAACTTACAACAATAAGGCTTTTCATGGAAAAAACTTCAGCGATTAAATATAAAAAAAGACACTTTATTATTTTCATGACTATTTAATCTTGCAATCGGACACTTCTGTTAACTTATTTGGATGGGTTCATGTCACTATATCTTGAATAGAAAAATACATCATATCCACAAATAAACTTGATATATATATCTATTGATTGATTGATAGTTTTAGTTAGCGGCTATTCTCACTGTATCCTATTCGAACGCATGAGGGTTAGTCTCAATGCATGTAGTCAACTACATGCAATGAGATTATTGAGTGGCAATGTCAACTACTCGCACTTCCGATCTCCGTCAAGAAAAATGGAGAACCTGATTTATGAATTTTTTTAGGGAATATATTTTTTACCATTCAAATTCTCATTCTTCTTTGACACTGATCTGAAGTGTGTGAGAAACATGCAGTGAAAGCTTTTTGAAGCACCGTTCACAGTGCATTTGATTCACGCATCCTCGATCGTGGTGCAGAGAACTTACAGTGACTCAAAATCCAGCAGTGGACTGATCGTTGAGACACGGTTCCCAACAGATCACCGAAGTCACGCATCACTGGCTGCGGTCAGTGTACAGCTGGGTAACGATTTGGTTCAGTCTGCTTTGGGACAGAGGATGGGTGGTAACCCTTATGAAAATTTAAGGTTGATTTGAGGTATTTTTGAGGTATTAAGGTTGTTTTGAGGTATATTTAAGGTTGCAGAGAAAACAGCAATAAAAATTATACCTCGTAAACGTTGTAATTAAGGTGTACGAGGTTGATTTATATATGTACTTCAGCTTGTTTTGAGGTTGTTTAAAATTCACTTCAAATCATCCAGACTGATAAGATGATTTTTAAGGTATACAAGGTCGTTTCTCTTACACTTGTAACACAAGAGGTATTTATGAGGTATAAAAAAATTTACCTTAGTTCGACTAAAGAGATTTTTTTTTATTTTATTTTATAACCGTCGTTGAACAGCCGACCCAATTTCATGGGTTTACGACTACTTACGTTCAACTCCGTAGCCTTGTAATTTTGAACCAATCCAGAAGACAGGGAAACTCCTGGATCAGTACCCCCAGAGGTATTAATTTGTTGTGGGAACATGGAGGACTTTGAGACTCGACAGATTTAACGTGCATCTGTCACCATTTACTACACGGGGAGTCTTCGGCCGGGGAGGATCGAACCCACGACCTCTTGGATATGGGCCCAGCGCCCTACCGACCAGGCTATCCCGTGTTCCGTGCGAGCCGGCAAATGACGTGTGTGTTGAAAATCGAAAGTCTATTCGAAATTCGGTAAGTGTACTTGATATTTATTAATTTAGTTTTATCACTTTTAATTAAATATGCTTCAATTTTCAAACTTAAATTTTATTACTTTTGTTTTAAAGACGCTTCCTGATCTTAAATAATGTAAGTTGGAGGATATTTTTAGAGGCTAATGTTGTAGGCTTAGCAATAAGAAAGAACAATTGAAATATTTCTGGTCGCTGTTTACGGTAACGTTACTGGTGAATTGTTACAGCAGGTTACGCACAGTATGTTTTATTGTTTGTAATTTATTCAAATATAACTATTCTTTTTATTTTGCTTAAATGTATGTATTTTAAAGTAGCAGTATGCAAGCTGATTAATTGAGTAAAGTGTTCGTAATTTCTCTTATAAATAAATCATTGAAAATTGAAAGATTTTAAAATAGAAATTTTGCTTTGAAATTCTACTATAACTGTATGCTTATCGTTGTTTATGAGTAAAAATATGTATAATCACACGCACGCACGCACACACACAGGTACAGGCATGAGTATGCAAATAAAGGGGTATGGAGCCAATCAAAGCCCAGCGCTGCGGTCGGCAACGCGTATATAAGACAACGAGTGTCTAGCACAGTTCTTAGATCGGTTACTGCTGCTACAATGACAGGTTATACAGATTTAAGTGAGTTTGAACGTGGTGTTATAGTCGGCGCACAGGAGATGGAACACAGCATCTCCGAGATAGAAATGAAATTTGGATTTTCACGTTCGACCATTTCGCGAGTATACCGTGAGTATCGGAAATCCGGTAAGACATCAAATCTACGACATCGCTGCTATCGGAAAAAGATCATACAAGAACGGGATCAACGACGTTTGACGAGAATCATTAAACGTGACAGACGTGCAACCCCTTATGAAAATTTAAGGTATATTTA